TAGTTGTATGTGGGATATATGCATCCATTTGCAGCAGTTGGCAACATAACCCACGAGTGCCAACCTAAATGTCATTTTATCGGCCGATTCGGTTAAATGCCAACAGTGTTCTGTCTTTTTTTTAACTAAGGTTAAATAAAAAGGAGAATGAGCTCTCAGCTTGAAACGAATTTTAATTTCTTACAAACTGCAATTGGCAATAATTTTGACGTCATCGATCACGTGCATACACTATTTAAATAATTTCACTATAGAAAAGGTGCATAGCTCGAAAAATAGTTCTCAGAAAACATAGTTTCTTCCATACAGGGTGTTACAGAAGGTTTAAAAAACAAAAAAATATATTTTCTTTAATGAAACACTCTGAATATTATTGAATATTCGGATTTTACGTAAAGTTCTGACCAGATTTCATGTGATATACACTATACTTACCTAAGTTCAACTGTTTTGGAAATATTGACAGTTGAAATTTGACTTTTTTGCAACTTTGACGTACTGATATAAAATCGGTTTTGCTGTAAAATTACCCGTTTAGGTTTTACAGCCTGTCAAAGTTGCAAAAAAGTCAAATTTCAACGTGAAAATTGACCTTTTGTTTGGACGCCATATTGCGGTGCGCGAACATAGTTGCCAAATGAAGAAAACAAAAATTACTAGCGGGCTGTCAACATTAAAAACAAAAGTAACTAAATGGGGTGCGTACGATAAGTCCAACTATTGACACTTTTTCACCCTGTTGGTGTTTCCCATTAATAGATCTAAATAGTGCGAAACTGGTGCAATTTTTTCTATTTCTGCCTTTTTCTTCTACAGATCGATCAAAAGGATGCAAATACACTCAGTGCGCACTGAACCTACCAGTCTTTTAAAGAAGGGTCAGGGTGAAAAAGTGTCAATAATTGGACTTATCGTACGCACCCATGATTGATCCTCGCTTCCTCGTTATTCTTTTTGTTTGTTTACTTTCTCTCTCTGATTGATGAAAGTGAATAGGTAGATATTTTATAGCGGTTTCCATTTGTTGAACCAGTGCAAAAAAATCTATCCATATCCTTACATGTAATGCTTTTAGAAAAAGATGGGAATACACTCAGTGCGCACTGATTGACAAATGGAAATCGCCATTATTATTTCTATTCTGCCCAATACAAGCTAAAATTGATGACTGTTCTTTTCAAAAACATTCGTGATAGGCGACAAATTTAAATTTTTAATGTAGGTAATTTATTCAGTAACTTTTGTTTTTAATGTTGGCAGTACGCTAGTAATTTTTTTTCCTACTTTTGGCAACTATGTTCGCGCACCGCAATATGGCGTCCAAACAAAAGGTCAATTGCACTTTGTCGAAGAGAATATCATCGACGACTGGCTGAAAAAAAATTGATAATTAATTTGTGTTTAATACTTGTATTAACTAATTAGCGCATAGTTAACTAGAAGCATTAAACACAAATAAATTAATAATGCCAGTGCATATTAAACATAAATTAATTATTATTATTTTTTTTGGCCAGTCGATGGCACACTCTTAAACAAAGTGCAATTTTTACGTTTCAATTTCAAGATAATTGAAAAAAATTATACATTTTTGTAAAGTAGAAAAGTCACGCTTTCTGACGGTGACAAAATCTATCGGGCGTTTCACCAAGAATAAGGCAGTATGTAATTATTTCGAAAAATCGAATGTCTGTAAAACCAAATTTCAAGATTCGGCAATACTATGAAAAAAAAAGCTTTCAAAAATTCTTAATCCTTATTCTCCCAGAACAAACCGCATCCCGTTACCTTTTCTCGTTTTCGAGATATTTACCTGCAAAATGTGTCAGTTTATCTAAGGACACCCTGTATACAGAGTGGGGACTTTAACTGGAACTAATTCGCTAGAGCCTTCGGTTAAAACATGTGAACAAAACGCAAAAACACGTCAGATTAATATCTTTTGCCTGAGATTTTTTCACCTAAATTTTTTCATACAGGGTGTACAAGAACAGCTGTACGGTTATCAACTTAATTTTTTTAAATAGTAACCCCTGTATATTATGACATTTTGGTATTTTGCGGAAAATTATAGACATATTTTATGTACAATGTCCTATAATTATCTTCAACTGTTTAGGAAATATTGACAGTTGAAAATTGACTTTTTTGCATCTTTGACAGACTGTAAAACCTAAACGGTTGATTTTACAGCAAAACCGATCATACATTTTCATCTTAGTTTTTTGTAAACTATCATTTGACACCAACTTTAAATTTAATCCATGAATAAAAATTCCTTCCGGTCAAAGTTGCAAAAAAGTCCATTTTCAACTGTGAATATTTCCGAAACAGTTGAAGATATTTATATGACATTATAATACATAAAATATGTCTAGAATTTTTCGCAGAATCCAGAAATGTTATAATATATAGAGGCTACCATTTAAAAAAATGAATTTGATAACCGTACAGATGTTCTTGTAACACCCTGTATAACAAAATTAATGTGAAAAAATCTTAAGCAAAAAATCTTAATTGACGTGTTTTTGCGTTTTGTCCACATATTTTATCCGAAGGCTCTAGCGAATTAGTTCCAGTTAAAGTCCCCACCCTGTATATCTATAATATTTAACAGTCGCACCTGGAACAGGGGGTCAGGCAATGACCCCAGTTTACTTTTTTTAGCATTACTTACTCATTTTTACTTTCACTTCAAAAACCGTTTAGGACTTTTATTTTACGTGTTTTTTCAACTCGTAGATACAAAATTTGTTGGGATTGGTTAAAATCTTTGACCTTCGCCAGACTTTTTATCGCACGCGTACAATCATCGGAGAGACACAAGAAGATGGCCGATGGCGATTGTTTCAATTTGATTGATATAGTTGCCTATAATTCCTACATTCTTTTTATAGAAGTTAATAAGAACTCTGCAAGAGATACTCCAAAACCAAAATCTAGGAAAAAAGTTCTTCTATAAAATGCTTAGGCAAGCTGTTGTGTCAAATTGATATGAGTAATCGCTCAAGCTATAGAGGACTTCAAAATAAATATATAGCTACTTTGAAAATTAGTTTGGAATAAGATATTGAATTTGTTCAATTTTTTTTTACAAATCACGTACCCGGTGAGTCGCTAACCCCCCTGTTCCGAATTCAAGAAAACCTGGGATCAGCCGCTAACCCCCCTGTTCCATGTTCTCCGGGTACCCAGTTAGGGTCCCAGTGCGACAAGCTAATAAACTATAGTAAATATCTTGTTCGTAGTTTGGTTAAGCTAATCGGCTCAATTCTCGGATCCAATCAATGATGTAGTTAAGTCCTGCCTGCTGTCAATACAACCTCTGACGGATTCGTGCCGATTTCAAAGCACGAGTTGACAGAAATTCCAAATTCCACTGGGAAACTTCTAATGCACGCGTTTATTGACAACTTTCATTCATTTTAATTTAGAAGTATTGTATCACCAGACTAACCCTCTGACTAACCCAAACTGTAAAACTTGCCTTGTATTGGTGTTCCCTTTTTTGTTCTTTTAATCTGTGTCCATTATTTTGTGTCTGTAATGGCTTCATTTTCGATTCTAACCCAATTAAATTGAAAATAACATTCCTGCAAATAATCACTTCTTCATCATTGAGTGTTTTCTTGATAAATAAAACTGGTAATGGGTCAATATGCTATAATAATTATTTATGATATAAGTGTTAAAAGTACATTTTTAAGGCACGCATGTGAAAGTTTGCAGAATGAGCGAAGCGAATTCTGCAATTCACATAAGTGCCTTAAAAATACTTTTAACACAAATATCATACAATATTTTTTCTACAAACGACAATAACAAGCAATAACCAGTGACAAATTGGATTTTTAAATGAATAATAAATTGGAAGCATCTTTCCTACGTAAAATTATTGAATTTGATATTTGTCAAAAAATTCAAACAACCAGCACCTTGTTTTACAGGTAATGAAATGTCTTGTCAGTTTCTTGAAAGTCTGTCGTGGTCAGTAACACAGAACATATCACCTATAGAAAAATATCTCAAATGGAAGAATCGCGACAAAGGTTTTTAGTTAGGTTTTCATTCAACGATGGCGACACTGTCGGGAGATAAGAGAAATTTACAGGTATCTGTGGCGTGGACAGTGATTTGTGTTGGTTGGTTTTGTCATTTATTTTGTCATTTTAAAAGTCAAAATTTGAATTTTTAAATTGTGTTGTTGTACCCCACGGTTTCTACGCGCGTTAAAGTGAAAATTCAAAAAGTTTTGGTTGAAAAAAAACCTAATTTTTGTTCGTATTTTTTTGTATTTATTCGTTTGTTTCGTTTCGTTCGTATTTGTATTTATTATTCGTATTTACTTTGCGATCTACCTATAACTGCGCGACTCTTGCTAACTTACTAACTCTTTTTGCACTATGTTCGACATCGGAAACTTCCTGCCAGACATAGTTTTTAAAAAAGTGAGGCGAAAAGAGCTAAGAGGAGTCAGCAAGCCAAATGCAGTTGAACATTAAAAATTATACAAAAATAATAAAAATATATGAAAAAAATCAATTCGCCTTTTTGTCAAGAATACTCGATTAGTTGGGTTTTCAGTCAACGAGGGCGCCGTAATTCATAACCGGTACATACCATTGCAGATACTTTTCTAGAGGTGATATGTTCTGTGGTCAGTAAGCTTTTTGCTAAAAATGCAACAAAATACACAAGAAAAAGAGGGTTGCATCAATCCCTTGAAAAATATAGAGGAGGCGGCCGATGGAGCTTCCTCAGTTGTTCAAATTTTACCATTAATATTAATGTAAATAATTAAAAATACAAACTTTTTTTGACGTTTGCTTTCAAATTTTGATGTTTCATTTTTAACACTAGTGCCTTAAAGACTTTTAACACTAGTGCAATAAAGTAACATTTTTAATGCTTCGAGGGGGTGTTAAAAATTGTATTTTTAACACGTTTGTAGAAAAAAATTATTTGTATTTATTCAAAATAATTGATTCCAATTAACGTACCTGTTTTAGGTTAAAAATCAGTGTTGAGCTGATTGTTAAAGGCCAATATTTAGTTTGGCGATTTAGACGTCCGACAACATTTTCCAAAGGTTTTTCCTGTGAATTTTTATTGGTGATAGTCACAAGTGTATTTTGTCTTATCAGCAATCCAAAATCTTGGATTCTATAATCAGTAACTCTCCCGCCGCAACCTTCTAATATAGATGGAGGATCCTCCAAGACTGACCTGACACTGTGCAAACTATGTATAAAAATCTCCCCTCCATGGGCTTCCAAAAAGTGAGTAGCAATTTTGTCATCACCTTTTCGAGGCATTTCCAACATAACTGAATGACCATTGAGAAGAAATTTTATTAAGCATAAAGATGGTCTGGAATTGACGGCAACAGGTGTGATTCGATTCATGGCGATGCAGTTGTGTAACTCGTTGCCTGTTACTCTTCTTGGTGTACACCATTTGAGGATGACCTAATGGGAGAAACAACACGTGTGCAATATGTACGCATATTTGAAGTGAAATTTTTTACGCTTAAACGGCTAGATTAAATTTAAATTTCATCCTACTGTATATGAGTGGCCAGCTGTTAACAATTATAAGACCATTGAATTTATCATTTGATTACGCAATAGTATATTAAAATACAAGTTTCATAAAATGTCTTATGAAACGAATATTTTATACTATTTTTTCTATTTTGGTATTGTTTAATTGAAAAAACTCTTCTTGGAAATTTTATTCTCATATTTCCTGATTTCATATGTTTAGGTTGGCAACACTACATGCCAAATATAGGAATCTATTATTTTTTATCGCGAATGACAGTTCGATGGCCATCAGTCAGCCAGTGTTACCAACCTCCGATAAGTAAAAAAGGAGTATCACAAAGAGCTTCTTTTCGAAACTACTTTTAGTGTCGAAAAGACTTCGATATGACACCAAAATAGAAAAAAAAATATTGTGATCCCGTTCAACAGTCAATTGTGATTTGACACTGACACTCATTCCAAACTGTCGGTTCGAACTGCAAATACTGCAATAGAGCTATTTTTCAATGAAAGAGAACGTCAAGTAAGTGTTCTGAGATAGATTTTATATAATCCGAATCGCTTATTATAATCTCGAGACTGTGAATTGGATTTACTCCAAATTATTGATTGGATTTCACTAGTTATTGTGGCGGAATTCACCAAACTCCTGGAAAAGAGAGAAAACTGGGACAATCTAACCAACTATATTGACGAAGACGAGGAACTTAACAAAGTAACCAAAGTGGAAACAGAAAACCCAGTTGTTACCCTCGTTTGCTGGGACCCAGCAATCCTAATCAGACCGGATGGCGAAATTGATGCGAATGCCTCATGAAACAAATCAATAGATCATTCCCGGAATTCGCCGAATTGATTATGGAGGACAATAAAGACGTAGAACATATTATCAACAGCCTAAAAAGATCCAAGAGATTGAGCGACGCCTCAGGAAGAGATAGACCCGGCACTGGTGTTCCAACAACCTCAAGAGGACGACAAATCAGGCAGCAAGAAAAAAACTCGCCGTAGCGGCATGCATCAAGATACTTACACCAAGATCGGCTTCAAATCCCGCGCGCCTAAACCCGAAACCCGATGGAAGCAAATTTCCAAAACAGGTAGAATAGAAACATCAAAAGTTAAGGTCGACGGCAATAGAGAAATACTGAAAACCGTCAAAGAGGAAGTGGACATAGGGCATCATAATCTCGTCACTCAGGAAACTAGAGGAAGACTCAATCCGCCTTAACCTTCCATTAGTCGCGCGTGTATCTGAGAGATACATGCCTATTATTTTTGCAAATAAATCAAAAAGGACAAACCCTATAATATTATGGCTTGTAGTAGTCCTTAGGACAAGAGCTTGATGGTAGCCTCGAAACAAATTATATGTGACGTTGCAATTTTTGGCATTTTCATGTTGGGACTGGAATCAGCGCCTCGGCACGCCACCACAGTTTTTTATTATTAGGTTTGTTCCAACCCGTCAAAAAACCGTCCCAGAACGGTTTCGAAACCACTCATGCAAATTTCGGTTTCTGCGCAAAAATTTTAGGATTTGCGCAGAATCCTGACGGTAATATCACGGTTTCCTGCTGGGTTGGAACAAAGCTTATTATCCCTGCCTTTTGAGTTTACTGAGAATATAATAACCTTTTATAATTTGATTGTATAAATAAACATATAAATAATTTTTTCCTACGAGCAAGCACTGCCTTTTGGTTGGAGTGAAACAGGAAAATCGTTTGTTCTCCCACAGGGCGGAAAATGTTTTCATATCAAATTCGAAAAAAAAAAAATAGTTATTTATCCAACAAGTGCGGGAAATACAATTTCTTGTAAGTGTTAGGAACACAATTTTTTCCAAGGGCCTGTGGAAAGATTACTCTTTAGTCTTTGTGCATGCCAAAAGTTTTTTTTTCAGCACATTCGTAGGAAAAAAACGGATCATCTTTGCTTCAGGTGTCCAGAAAATGGCAATATCCTGTTTTTAAGCCCTAGTAGGACTGCTCATTGAGCTGAAAGCTAAAAGTGTGCGAACTGCCATATTAGCCGCATACCTCAACTCTTGGAGTAAAATGCATTATTCAAGTTCAAAGCACTATAGTATAGGTCAAAAAAACCAATTCCTAAACGTTGAAATCTTGTTTAAATCACCTTTTCTACATTTAAAATCGATGAAAAATTCAAATAACCAGCACAACCTGAATCGCAAGCCCTCCATCGAGGTCTGCGGGTGACGTCATCACTATTAGCTGCTGTGATGACGTCACTCGTAGACCTTGTCTACTTAAGAATTGGTGAACGTACGCCTTATTAGGATGAGCAATCCTGTTCACGATTATTGGGTTTTGATAATAATTGTTGTATAAAAATGTCCAACAAATTCCAACAAAATCCTAATCTTTCATTGCACAAATAAACTAGCATCTGCAAAAAACTTTTTTTCTGAACATTGAAAAATAAACAACTTTCGTCAAAAATCATTTTCTGCAATTTGAAAACATTACCTACATATTTTGAAAACTGCTGTTTTCATCACTCGTTAAACAATAAACATTGTCCGCACCTGTTAGGAAAATCTTTGACGTCAATTTGGCAACGCAGCACTCCTTGCCTTAACCTTTTAGAATTGTTTTGGGGCTATCACCAGTGGCGTAACTAAGGGCCCGCAGGGCCCGCAGTTGCGGGGGGGCCCCGTGATCTTGGGGGCCCCGCGGAGTACCAGACCAGGTAAAAGTACTAAACTGGTGACAAGAGTAGTACTTAATTGAAAGAAAATACTTTAACCTATGAACCTCATAATACATATCAACCATTGGAAAAGTATGTCTGGTCTGGTTCAACCAATGTAAGAAATTTCAGAGAGAAATGTTCAGACATACTCATAGATGCAAAATTAAATGTCCGTGATACCACTATTGCTATCTCCGAAATCGGAGGTATGAGGTCGGGTAAATTAAATAAAAATGGCAGATTTTGATATCCAATTTGGAGGTAACTTCACAGGCTTGCCAATTTTTTATTTGTTTCCGAGATATAAAACCTATAAGGTAAAATGTAAACACAACTAGAAGCTCTGTGAAGATAACAAACGCCATTTTGTAGAGAAGAAAGAATCTTGGAACTTTTGCATTGAACACTTTTTTCTAAAATCTATTGTACAGAGTTGTCGTTATGTATGGAAACGGTCTGATATTTCAGAACCGGTTCGAAAAAAAATTACAATATTTCTAAGATGTCGTATGTAACTTGATTTTTTTAAATGAATGCCCCCCTTTATTTTCATTGCAATTAATTCAGCGTCCTAACATTACTAAAACCCCTAAATTTCAAAACTCCATTTTACTTAGTTTTTGAAATATGGCAACACAGATTTTTTGTTGAAATGTATGGAAACAGTCTCATATTTCAGAAAATACTCTAGCAAAATGTACAATATTCTTTATCTGGGGGTTTTTAGGAATGCCCGATTCAATGGTGGTATTTGCAATGTTGCCAAGTTTACCGTTTCTAAGATGCCGTATGTACCTGCCCGTAGGGGCATTCATTAAAAAAAAATCAAGTTACATACGATATCTTATAAAAGGTAAACTTGGCAACATTGCAATACCACTATTGAATCGGGCATTCCCAAAAACCCCCAAGTAGGGAATATTGTACATTTTGCTAAAGTCTTTTCTGAAATACGAGACTGTTTTCATACATTTAAAAAAAAAAAAATTGTGTTGCCATATTTCATCATGAACCAAGTAAAATAGAGTTTTGGCATTTAGGGGTTTCAGTAATGTTGGGACGCTGAATTAATTACAATAAAAATGAACAGGGGCTGTCGTGGTGTTCATTATTAGTGGACTGTATATTGAATTCGTCGCTGTTTTTATTGAAATTAAACGCTGGTTTTGTCTTATTTACACCACTAAGTATTTATTCACAGAACTACTTCACTACTTTACATTACTATTTACAAATTTACAATTGTGTGAATGATTTTTTGACCGCAGCCAAAAACAAAACTTCAAAAACTGAGCTTGCCACGACGCTCTTATTAATATTAGAAACTCTTGCGCGTAACTGATTAACAATGCGACTCCGTGGTCTCTTTTACATACTCAAGGAAAAGCCTAGAATTCCGGAGTCGTGTTCGCCCAATCAGAATTGAATTCTAGATTGCGTTCGAAGAATTAGAATTGCTATCAAGTGGCGCGGCATATTGGGTGTTGTTGCTATGGAAAATTTCATACCTCTATTATTTAATATTTAAAATAGAATATTCTGGAGAATATAATTATATTCGAGAATATATTATTTCGCCATACCGCCCCCCTTGAAAGGATTGCTTTCAAAAATGAAAGTACAAAACAAAATAAGTTTTTCCTGAAAAATTTGAAACAAAGTCCTACACAATAGTAAAGTATTACATAGTATTATAAACACCTACTCTACTGAACATGAAAATCGAATAATAAAAATAAAGTAAATTATCCTCAAAAATAGCATTGATAATAATATAACAAATATCATAATATCACCTATCTAAACTAAACAAATTATTAAATGCCATTATCGTTAACAAATGTTGAATAAAGAACAAAAAAAAAAATTAAGAATAATCATATTAAATAAACAAATCATTCATCTAGTCATCTATAGGTAAAACACACACTTTTGACACTGCTCGCTTTACTAATCCGTTCGTAGTTTTCACCAACACGACGCGAACTATATCGTCTGATCCAGGATACACATTTTCAATTCGTCCCATCGCCCATTTTAACGGTGGGAGATTTTCGTCTTTCAATACGACTAAATCTCCTACTTTAATGTTAGAATCTTTATGACACTTCCACTTATTACGCCTATGAAGTTCACATAAGTACTCGCGATTCCATCTGTCCCAAAAGGTCTGAACAATAAATTTTAAATGCTGATATCTACTT